ATGCTTATGGCGAGAATTAATTTTCCTCCAAAATTTCAATTTCAAACGAAAGGTTAAGTCTCGTACAGATCAATAAATACTTCTACAGAATTTCGAATATCCAATAATAGTGATTGCAAAAATTTGACTGATCGTTCTTCAATCGACAAAAGTCCACACCGCAAAGTCTCTATTAACTTTGACCAAAAATCCTTTTTCGCATGGACTCATCATGGAAAAAGAACAAGTTCATTGGAGGTAATTCGAATATTTAACCTCTAAACGACTTTTCAAGGTCATTTTCGAAGAGCACTTATCTTTGCACATTGAAAAATGTTTGCTGTAAAAATCAAAAATCTTTTCTTCGAAGCTACAAAAGTTCTTCAAAATCGTTACTTTTATCTGAAAATTATCCGAGGACGATATCTTCATAATAGTAGATTTTGATTCAAACGTCTTTTTCCTATTCTGGGAAAATAGGAACCTCTCATGTGACACAATAGTCAGTGACATAGACACTACTGATAGGAGACTTTTTTGCGGTAAAAGTGATGGAATCCCCTTGGATGACTTGTCGGTAAAATATAGCGAATGTGCATCAAGGAAATTGTGTAATTTCAAACTGCTTGTCACAATTAGCTTTTGAATTGATTAATTGGTTTGATTTGAATTTTTTCAGGTAAAACTGAATTTTTATGATCAAAGTTGCAACGTTTTTCCTCTTTGATGCGCAAAAAGACATTTGTTGCTCGTCAAATGAAGGTTGCATCCCATTATGTTGAAAAGTCAATTTTTTGTCACATATTTCCATTGCATCTGATGATTTATACGATATTGAAATTTTCGTGTTCTTTCCCCGCTTTTTGCCACTTTTTGCCAATTTGATTGATATTTAACCAATCCTCATGAGTAAAGACGAGTGAAACTTGATGATTATTTAAACATTTTTTTTCTCAGTCTATCCTGAGTATGAATAATTTGTCATCATTTTTATGACTTTTTAATGTGATCCATAGCTTTACCAGTAATTGTAAGCTCTTGTTTTACTCTTGATGTAACCAAAGTTTCCAAAGCAGACACCACTGAAAGCATCAAATAGATAAATTGCAATTTGATTGAAGCGTAAAATTATCATTTACTTGAATGAAGGGGTGAGTTGGATACAAAAGGCGAATCAAAAAGAGAGAAGCAAAAGAACGAGAAAAAAAATATTGCTTTGCCTTTTCAATTGCATTCAATCCCAGTGGACAGTTGCATTGAACCAGAGAAACAAGATGATTTGTTGAACATCACTTTATGCCTGCAAAAACAATGTAAAAGGAAAGGCAAAAATTAGAGACTTTATAATTGTTACAATTAATTAAAAAGCTCAGTCAACTTTTCACTTGTTCATCCTCTCGAAACGAACAATTACAATGGAAAACCATTGAAATCAAGTTCTATTCCTGTCCATTAGCTATGAAATCATAATTACAAGAACTGCCCAAAATTACCTCAAAAGACTTTCAAGATTTGTACTTTCGAAAGATCCAAAAGTCGAAATTTTGCAAAAAAAATTTCCATTTCGAATGCTTTTCAACTTTTCTTTCAAATCATTTTCTTAATCAATAAAGTTTCGTTGGAAATTTGATAACAATGATTATTTCTAGTTTATTATTAGATTACTGTAAATCCTTAGTTTGATTCAGTGAATGTATTTTGAGCAAAGACATTGAATAAACATTACATAAAGCATAAGTCGAATGGGAAAAAAGTTGAATAAAATGATCCAGACAAGAAGCACAATTGAAAATGGATATTTGTTGCCATTTGAAGTGAAATTTTTTTCTCTACTTTTTAAGTCAATTTCTTGTCACTGAATAATAATGTGCATGAAGGAATGAAATGTGTGTTCTCCATGAGATTGAGAGATTTTGACTACAAGAATTACAAGGTAAAGAGTGAGAGTAAAAGGTTCCATTGGCGAAATGAAGCAAATAATTCTTCAGGGAGTGTAATAAAGTCACGTTCTGATTGGAATCGAGAGAAGAATTTGAATTAAGGAGAAAATGTTGAAAAAAAGAGAAGTGAGAAACATGGTGAAAAGAAACAACGACCTCGTTCAGTGGGTGGCGATGATGGAAGAAACGGAAGAGCAAAAGGCAAAAAAAACATGAGCCTGGAAGAGGTTGACTTGCATTTGATAATGCCTGCAGGGAATTGCTCATGAGCTTGGATAATAAATATTGCTTACAATCAGTTTACAATGTAAAAGGTAGAAGGAAAAGGAAGAGAAAAGAAATTTTTTTTTCTTGACTTCATTTTCCAATTGAACAACATTATCAAGAGAAAAGAGGAGAAAAAATGAAAACAATTTTTTCCTCATCACAGTTTTGTTCTTGCTATCATCATGATCAGAATTAAGTGTCACTCTTCTTCTCATCCTACTCATTCTGTATCATGATTTTACTCATTGTGTTACATGAAACTGTTTGTACTTTTTGCTTTTCTTCGTCTCACTCCTTTTGCTTCCTGATTCTTGAGCTTATCGTTCAGCTTCTTCTTGTTTTTTTCTTCTTCTCTGATAATTCTAGATTCATCATATTCTTGTCATTTATTGTATACACCTCAACTTGAAGTAAACTGAGTAATAAATACACAAACAGTAATGATGATGGTTTAGTTCTCAGTTTTTTTCTTCTTCTTCTTCTCTTTGCCTTCTGATTAATGCATTAATTTATTCAGTCAACAGAATAAATGAACAACAATGTATCCGGTTTTCCATGTGTCATGTTAGTAGTTTGTTCTCTCATTTTGATTCATCATTATCAGAGGTTTTTCCTTTTTTTCGAAGCTCTTTTCTTTCGTTACAGTCTTCAGGTTCAACTATTAACTCTAACCTCTAGTTGCACTTGTACTTGATTATGTTTTATATACCAGGCAGATATCATGGATGAAACTGGATAAAAGTGTGAAGAGATTATCGGAAACTGTAGAGAACAGGAAGGAATCACAGAACGAAAGAAATAAATTCATCACAATTATCTTTACGGACAAGGGCATTATAATACGTTGCAGGGAAAAGCTTTCACTAATTTTCTGTCCTTTTCCTTGCTTTTCTAGCCAATTTGGTGAAGAGTAAGCAAATCTCAAGATGAAAGGCGAACCACAAGATTGATTACAGTTTGATGACCAATTATTCATCAAGATTCAATCAAATCGAGTCTAGTGCTAAAAATGAATAGAATGCTCTTCACAAAAATCGCACATTCGCATCCAGAAAATGAGCGCTGAGTTCATGGCCGATCACCAATTCAAAAGATGATCATTTAAATCTGATAAGTTTTTGAGAAAATCGAGTTCAAAGTTGAAACTTTGATCGTCTTTTGTGCAGTTATGAAGCTAGATTTTGTCTTCTTATAGAAATGCAAAAAATTTATAACTTGAATGACTTTTATGAGGTCAAAATGGTTCATTGGTTTGAAAGAAAGTTCATTAATCGAATTGAAACTCTGCAAGATGCTTGAAAAGGCTAGTTTTCTAACTGTTGGTCAATGGTTACATTTCCATGATTTCACCACATTCGTTTTGGTGAATAATTTTTCATTTATCTTTTTTTTATTCTTTCTTTCATTCCATTTATCAGTAAACTGGATCAAACTTGAACTCTAAATATACATCATTTGTTGAGAGATGAAAAATGTAAAGAATTGACTTTTACTCTTTTATTTTTGTTGACAATTTTTCAACTTTTTGTCTTCACTTTGTTCAACTTATCGAATCTGATGATGGATTCTTTATGTAAATTGAATTCATTGGTCAGTATTCAGTGTCTAATATATTCTGACCTTTCATGGTTATTTCCTTTTACCAAGAAAGAGAGCATCAGAAGAAGAAGAAGAAAAAATGATGAGCAAAAGTTCAAGTTCATTTCTACAAGTTTTTCGTTGGAATCACAAACCATTAATAATATAAATCATGGTATATTCTTGTTGTCAGATTTTCTTTCTTCGTCTTTCCTCTTCTTTTGTTTGAATTTGCAATATTCCAGATTCCACTTCCGATTCTGATAGAGTCACCATAATAGACACAACAAAACTCATAGGAAGTTTACAGCAGAAAAAAAGAAAGAAAAAGAAAAAACGAGAAAAATCTTTGCTGAAGCCCTTTTCCTCCCAGCAGTAGACTGATAACGATTTCTTGAAACTTGACAAAACATTCAGTTTATCATGCCATTCTTTCCAAAGCTCAGATTAAACTGTGAAAACAAGAAACATTAACAACATTTTAAATCTAATGAGTTTCATTAGCATTAAATTTTCATCTAAACGTGAAATCTTTTTATACTTTTCAACTGAAGACAGAAAAAGATGAACATTTTGAAACAGTTGAAGCCTTGGCAAGATGAACAAGTTTTGTGAACATTTCAAAGTAAAAAAATGTTCTGTGATAATTTTCCGTCTCATTATCACCTAAACCCATCAAAATGCTTCAAAAACGTTGCTCTCTTAACGAGAAAAGAAAATGAAAGAAAATTTTCAATTCTATTCTTCTGTCCATGAAAGCATTCTTGATGATTGCACAGATTAATTGCCATCAACATGAAACTGAATATTTATCATTCTCTAAATGATAGCAAATGATTTGCAAAAATTATCGAAAAATGAAAAATATTTTTATCGATTCTTATTGGTAATCTGAGTGAATTTCAGTGAAAAATTTCAATAACGAATTTCTTTTTTTTCTTCTTCTTATTTTGTGTATTTGCTAATTGATGTCAACAATTGCTGTTATTGGAAATGTTTTTGGATTTTGAACATTTTGGGAATTTTCGGATTTCTTCTGCATTTTCATGTTTTGTCAACAAATGAATTGTTAATGTGCAAATTTACGTGAAATTGGATCATTTGGATTGTTTACTATCAAATTAACTTTTCCTTTGTGTTCATTTGTAATTGGAATCATTGGAAATTTTCAATCTACTTTGAAACTAATTTCGACGAAAATTTATTCATGTGTTAACATTTTGTTCGGGCAAACAGTTTCTCCTGTCTGTAAACCTTCCCAAGAAGTTAAGTTTGGAGTCGCTCGCAATGAAATGGTTAACATTAGCTGTCAAGTCGATGCTGATCCAGATGATGTCAAGTTCAACTGGATGTTGAACAACACACTTGAAACTGCAGAGATTCGCTCATTCAACTCCAATGGAAGTACTTCAATAGTCTCATATGTACCAAAGTATAAAAATAGTTACGGAGTTTTACTGTGCTGGGGATCGAACAAGGTGGGAGTCCAAACCGAGCCTTGCTCATTCAATGTGATACCAGCAAGTAAGTAGCCTACATATTTAATAGACTCAACCAAGTTGTCAGGTCGTCAGTTTGTACGCAAAACAAAAGCCGATCATGAAAATGCTTAATCAATTTTTCATCAACTTTTCGTTGGACAAATATTCAAATATCTCTTCATTATTCTTGAAAAATTTGTCAGAAAAATCGAGCAAAATTAGGAATGCAAAACGAATATGGAATATTTTTGAAAACTCAGACAATTTAAATGAAGAAAACGAAACGATTTTTGGTTCATCGATTAACAATTAGTTTTCATTATCAATACCAACTGTGAATAGTTTATGATGAATACAGAATTCTAAATGACTCGAAAGCTGAATATCGAATCTTGAATTTATTTTATATTAAACCTTAACTGTCCAGTTAGCCAACATTAGACTTCCACCAAAATGTGTATTAAATGCAAATTTATTATTGTTTTGAAAACTTTTGTGCATGAAATTTCAATTTTCAGCACAACCATTGAGGCTGCTTCAGTGAAGTAGCTTTTTGTCACGCAATAAAAGCATTCACAAACATGGATAAACACAATAATAATAACATCTAATGAATGGCAAAAAATTCAAGTAAACCTTTGAAATTGAGCGTAAAAATTTCAATTATGTTTCTTTATGTCGCCCATAAATCAATAACCAAACGAGTTTTGAAGCAGAAAACAAAATCAAGGCTAATCTGGAAAAAAAGAAATTCGAAAAATGAAATTTCCATAACATAATTAACTGAGCAAAAAAAGATTGAATAACAACGAACTGAATGAATGCCTTCAATCGGAACTTCATCTTTTCTTGTGTTTGAATGCAACCAAATTTGTTTCACTTTCATTTCAATTATAATTCACTTGTCAAACTTGAACAAATATCATCTATTCAATATTGAACATGTTTTTTATTCCAAGAGATTTTTCATGGAATATTGTTTATCTTTTTCCATGTAAAGCTGAGCATTGAATATCAACTCGGAAAACCATGATTATGTGTCAATATTTACAAGTAAAACTAAATTAGAGGCGAAACAAAAAAACGGAAAAGTAAAATAATAAAATTTGTTATAAAAGAGACAATTATTGGAGAAAAAAAGGAGAAAAAAAGTTTCATTATTTTCCATGAAAAATGAATCATGGAATGTGGTTGGAAAAGGAAAATATTCTTTCAACGCTAATAATAGCTAATGAATAGAATCGCAACATTATCATTTCAACAATGGATACCATGATAATGATTCTCATCAGAGATTGACAGTTGAGTTTACAAAAGGAAAATGAATTTTACCACAAAAAATGTTGATCAAAAGAAATGCAAGAGAAAGTTGAGATTCTCATCAGCATTTGGCTCATGTTAACAGATGAAAAGTTATGGCTGGTTAACAAGATGATAAAGATGTAATAAAATTATGTTGCTAAAGGCATGATATAACTTGATAATAGCAACAGGGATGAGAAATTAAAAGATGAGGAAAGAAGATAAAATTTTTTGTTTTCCTCCAATAATGAGCAATAAGAGAATCAATAAAGTTCATCTGAATACAATGGCCAACATTAATATGCACAGTATTTTGATTGTTATTCATTTGCCTTTTTTGGTTCAGTTTTTATCTTGGCTCACAACTTGGCATTACTCCCATGAAGAGTTGAGGAAACTTGCATGAAAACTAAATCGGGTTTAACCTCAGCTTGAAGGCAGATTATCTAGAGTAATCACTATTGATAAAAAGGGTAAAGTTGATCTAGAATGGAACATTGTTGAAAGAAAATTTTGCCTTTTCTGTTTTTTTTCTCCTTCTTCTTGCTTCTTCTATTGCTTTTGCTTTTACTGCCATCATTATCATTGGGCTCTGATGTACATTTCAATGTTCAACGTAATCGATAAAAATGTGTATCATCAAGATTTTTCTTCTCGTTTTTTGCTTCTTGTTTCTCTTTTTCCCCTTTTTTTCATATTCTCATGTTGTTTTTTTTGTGTTATGATGTAGACGATAAAAATGTACATGATGGTTGTGATGATGAAAATCATGATGAAATGAGACTTGGATTTGTGAAAACAGGAAAATGAAACGCAAAAATCTTGAAATATAATAGCTATCAGCTTAGTAACTTTTGCGTTCTGTGATATCGCTATATGCAACAAAAATCATTAAATTTAACAGTTTTCCAATCTATTGGGCAAATCTCTAAGAGAACATTTTCACCTTTTCGTGAATTTAGTCATTTTTCATAACTTTCGGGCAACTATTAACACATTTTAGGCCAATATGCAAATCATTGATAAGCATTTTTATAAATTTTCAGGGCGATTTCGTCCAAGCAAATCTTGGTTTAATCTACATTTGATTCTATGAATAATTTTAAATTGATAGTTCATTAAAAATAACAGGGCTATTCAGCTAATTTGTAAGATGTTGAACGCAAATAACTTTGCAACCAGACATGCTATTGTCCTTGCCATCGAAAATAGTGTGTTTGAGCAACATTTATTTTTTATGTTCCGAGGGCAAGATCATTCAAGGTCATTTTTGATAATAGTCGCTGCCATGTTAGAGGTTAATCTTACAGAAAATATTGCTGATTCAGCTGTGATACTCTGTGATCAATGTTTCTTGCGTTATCGGAATTCAAGTTACCAAACTTCGTTATTTAAATTCTTATTTTTTATACAAATTCGCATTTTTTACGCCCATTCTATTTGGGGACTTAAATGTCGATAACTCAAGAAACGTTCCACACAGTGCATCTCAAATTGATCAGTAAGATTATTTGTCTGTAAAAATGGCCTTGGATCTCAGATTGACCTCTAACAAAAACAGCTACTATTTCCGAAAAATGACCTTGAATGATGCATTTTGATGTATGACAACGATTCTTTTAGCGCAAAATTCTATTCTATTTAGTATCCTTTGCAGTCCTAGTCACTTTCAATTTCGTTAAAATGTCTGAATTTTGTTTCACCACATACAATATTTATAAAAAAGAAATTTTCTTTGGAATACATTATGATACATTGATCATTCTTATAGTGATGTAAAATGTGTAGTGTGTTTTCAGGAAATTCCTGTCTCCGTGTGAAACGACTTCATTCAAGGATATAATGGATCGCCAAGCGCAAGCAAACTCGATAGGCCGAGGAATTGAGGCGTGGAAATACGATTTTCAAGTGAACTTATTAACTTGTTTTATGCAAAACGATTTCTCATTTTTACAAACCTTTGCCACTGGATGCGCCGATTTCCTCGTAGCTGTTGTCCAAAGTGGGGATAAAAGAATTGGTGTAATTAATTGCCATCAAAGTTACGCTTTTCCCAATGTGGAGGAATATTTATTTGAACTTTTTAGTGCAGTTATGTGACTTCAAACAGGTGACAAGGATGCACAAAACAGATACATGCACCAGTTGATGGTTTGGTCTTAGCCGGAGATCTCAATTTGAAAAACGTTTAAAATGAGTATTTATTGATTTTTTGTTCAAAATTGCATCAGACCTTAAGAATAGAAACTCAAAATTTGTCATTTCATACGGTTTTTCAATTCTTTAATTCAAAAAAAAACTAAACATTTTTAAGCAAAAGCTACATTTTTATTGTCGAAGCAAATAAAAATATCAATAATTCAAGTCAGTATCCATAAGCTTCTCAAATCAAATTAATTTTCCAAATGTTTGAATTCCGAACGAATTTCTTCTGAAACTCGGCTAGATATATCTCATTAGTCACTATATGGCAATATTTCACTCATTTCAAACGTTGCAAAAAATCTTCATTCCAAGAGATAAATATAAATTCAACTCGACGTGTTACGCAAAACAGAAAATTGTATAAAAATAATACTTTGAATAACCAAATCAACTCCAAGACACAACACCATAACCTACTAAAGAGATTTGCTTTTTGACTGAGAAAAAAAAGAAACTCAGTTTTTCCATGTTATTGAACCAGAGAGAGAGAAAAAGTTTCAGAAATTGATAAGGAAATCAAATGATTTAAAGATTACTTGTAACATGTAATTTCCTATTTCGGTGGATATCATTTCTTTGACAAACAAACAATTTTAGTTGAATAAACATATCAGAAGGAACAAATGACAGGTATTCAGACGAAAAGAAGAAAATGTTCTCAAGTTGGCGTCCTTCTTACCTTATCATCCAATTTATCTATTCTGGTTGCTTCAAAGATTCATCTTCATCATTGTCTTGCGCCATTTTACCTGTCATCATATTTCAATAAAAAAAAGAAGATAAAAGTTGAGTTTTCACCTTATTTTTCCATAAACCAACATCTCTGACCTTTACTGGCATCTTTGATAACAATTTTCATCTGATCATCAAATTATCAAAACCTGAATCATCATCTTTATCCATCTCTTGTTTTCACCCAAACTCACAATCTAATTAATCACTTTTCACATTTTTACATGGAAACGTTTACCAACAATTTAGTATCATTAGTTGTACATGAAAAGGTACTTGGAACAAGAATGATTTTAATTGTTTTCTTGTTGTTGTAATTGTCATTCATTGTTTCCCATTGTGATTATAATTAACTCAAAATAGTTTTACTAGCAAAAGAAAAATGACAAATTTAATAAAAAAAATGTGATAATGTTGACAGTGATAATGATTGTTATTATATTAATGAGAAGATGAAAGGAAACAAAACGTTTAACTGAAAAGAGATGAACAGCAAAAATTGTACTTTTCATGGGAAAAGAGAAGCAAAAAATGATGCAAAAAGAAAACAGAAAAATGATAAATTTTTCTCTTTAAATATTCATGAAAAGTCGACTCAAGAATCGCAAAATTTACGTTTGACTGGAAAATGCAGTTCTTATGAAAATGTATCAAGTTTATGAGAAAATATTAAAAAGGGAAAAAAAGAAATTGAAAAATGTCGAAAATCGAAAGTCTTTTTTTGACATTTGAACGCGTTCTCATCAAGAACCATTAAAGTTGGTTAAGTGATGTCCAGTGTCCATCGTTTCTCAGGGAACCAGAAAAGAAGCAAATGTTTACTGACTTTTGAATTGCTGTTCAAGTTTCAAGAGATGATATTTTCAGAGTTTACATGATACAAGATATTCAATATGAAACACTTGTAACAAGATGAAAATGTGTGAATGTTTTGAGAAATAAAGAAATCTTTTTTTCTTGAAGTTCCATTTTCACTTTGACTGATTTATCTTGCCAATTTCAAGTTGATATTGTTGATTGTAATAACAGTTTGTCATTTACTCACCAATAATCAAAATTTATCGATAAAATTGTCAATTTTGATGGAAAAGGCAGAGAAGAAGAAGAAAAGTTTTTTTTTCTTTCAGAGAAAAGCCAAAGTCTAATCTTACCCCAAACTTGCTTCTTCTCGTCTTCCTCCTCATCTTCACCTTAACCATTTCATATGTGTAAATTACATTGGAAACTGATAACATTCTCACTGGGAGGTTAAAAAGTAAACTTTGTTCTTGTTCAGTCAACTAAAGTTAAAATATCTTTCCTTTCAAATCTTTGACTTTTATTAATTTTTCTTTTCCCTTCTTTTCATCGTAAACTCATCTTTTTCATCTTCAACTTTTCATTCAATTTGTTTGCTTCATTCACAGAAAATTTCATGATAACTTTGCAACTTTGTTTCTTTTCTATTCTAAAGAAAAAAAGAGAAAAAATTGAGTAAAAATTTCTTTCCTTTTCATCATTTACTTGGTTCATTTTCAGATCAATTGTTTGAGTTCATTTCAACTTTTGCTTTCAATAGACAATCTTTAAATGAGCAATTTACGATTTCAAATTTTACAGCAAAGAAATCGATTCATTTACTGAACCAGAGAAGAAAAAAGTTTCAAAACTTATTCGTAAACATTATTCGAAAGTTTACCTGAAAGAGGAAAGTGTCACCAAAAGGTGTTGAATTTTCATTTTAATAGATATTTTCTTCTTCGCTTAAAAAGCATTGTTGACCTTTAAAAGTTACTTTGAGATTTAAAGTGTTATTAAAGGTAAAAATATCTCAAAGTGAAAAGTTAAGTTGAATTGATGAAAATTGAGGCGAAACTTAGAAACGAGAATAAATTTGAAATCAAAATGTCAGTTCAAATGCTTTTTGTTTTATAACAATTTTAAGCGTTAAAACAGCGTCTTGAATCATTTTGTAAATCTTCATCTTTTAACTTTCCATTCAAAGTCAATCAGTTTTGGGAAGAAAATTTCGGTGAAAAAAGCGAAAGGAAATGAACAATAAATCTTAAGATAAACACAAAGAACAATATCATTTCATGAAAATTCAGTTTTTAAGCTTAACTTTGTTCGATTATGGAAACACATAAAAAGAAAAATAAATTTTGGAATTCATCTTAAAACTAGAAGATTATCAAATTGTTCAGAAAATCTTTACCTAAAACCAGTCGAAAGATCAAAAATTCAAAGAAATTCTATTGAACTTTCAAGATTCTTCAATTGTTTCAATTCGATAAGAATTTCGTTGAAAATTTGTTGCAAGTTGATGAGTTGAATGAACTTGATAATGCAATTGTTTTTACTGTTTATTGAATTTCAATGGTTAATTATTTGAAATTAGTAAATTCAAAGTCTCGTGAGATTGTGAAAGTTTATCTGATCGGAAAAGGAATGGTTGATAAGAAATGAATGGAAAAAGGGAAAAGTCGAAAAAATGGGTTACAACGAATAATAATAACATTATTATTAGCAATAATTGTGGTAACCATTACAATGGGAACAATAGAAGAGGTAAAAATATAATATCAATAATGGGTATTAGTTTGTTATCTGAAGCAATAATGAAAACTGAAATGTTTCCAATGAGAAGCTATTCAATGTATCTTTTTTTATCGTTTCACATTTTGAGCTCTATTGGCATTTACTCGTGGGAATTATCACTCCCTGTGTTAATCCAAGTAAAGAGTAACATGGCCAGGCTTGTGGATGGGAAAAGAGAAGGGAAAAGTGTGTCTAAGTTCAATTTACTTACAGGTTTACATGAAATTTACCCGCAAGAAATGCTATTTTGATTTGTAATCGCATCAAGAGAGAAGCAACTTTTATTGTAAAAAACAAAACGATTTAAGGAGTGAAATGATATGGAAAGGCTAAAAGCTAAAGGAACAAAATCTCAAGACAAAATTGGCTTCAGGCAACAGAAGTAACCCAATTAGATGAGAAATTTCATTTAATTATTAATATTGTTACAAACATGGAACAGTTGAAACACTTGGAAATCGGAATTCAAATGTTTAGCTCGAAAATCCATTCTAATCTTTTTCCAATAAAAAACTCAAATTTTTCGACAATCGATCAGCTCAGCTCAAGTTCAATCTCATCTGAATTCGGACAGCATTAGAAACTCGAACAGATTCATTATCTTTTTGGTTTTTCGAGTTTTTGAAAAAAAGAAATTCTTTTTCTGGTTTTTGGTAACTTGGTGGTGATGAGAATGGAAAGTATTTTGAGTTGATCGAATAATTGAACTTGAAATTTGTTGATTTTTTGGTCAAAAATGTTTAGTTTGATAGTGACTTTAGTTGGTTAAATAATTGATGGAAATGCACTTTTGAAAATCACTTTGATCAAGTTTAATTTTATAAATGCATTTGACCTGAAATTATTGATTTAATCGGATGAGAAAAGGTTAACTTGACTTTTCTTATAACAAAAAAAAGTAACACAAAGTTCAATAAATAACAAGCAATGGGTTATTTTGTTTCTCCTCTTTGCTCTTTTTGCTTTGTTCTGCTGAGCTCAACTTACCTCAACCCAAATGGTATAAGTAATGGAAGAGTAAAAATATTTATGAATGACAACATATTATTTGTCACTGAATGTGAACCCATTTGAGAAGTAAATCTTGCAACATAAGATATTTTTTCTTCTCTTCATTTGTTCTTGTTTGTTTATCAATTCACCCATCAAAACTGAATAACTCACATCACTTTTCCTCGAATTGAACTTCTCTCAATCATGCTCATTACCTTTTGCTTCAATCATTTCCCTTCGAACCTTTTCTTCCCTTTTTTCTGCTTCTCTTTGCTGGATTGACTTGGATTAATGTTTGAAGGACAGATTGTCGTTCTTGTTGAAACGGTATTATCAGGTATTAACAGGCAAACACTCAGTCAACATGAATGGCGAAGAAAGTTTAACCAGAAAAGAAACTTGTCTCAACGAAGCGACTAATGGTCAACAGAATAAGCATTTTGTTTGAAAAGGGTTGTAATCGAAAAACAAGAATTTCTTTTTTTTAAGAAAACATTCATTTCATGTTACTTTCAACTTGTTTTCATGTCAATTGCAACGATACTTTATTCAGTGTTTGTCAAGATTTTGGTGGAAAGGAAAGAAGAAGAGAAAAAACAATGAAAAAAGTTGAATCATTTGTTGATTTTTCATCGAAATGTTCATTCTTTTCATCATCACTTTTCTCAAATTGTTTTTACAGGCAACAATGTTGACGTTTGTTTATGGCTTCACAATATCAGGTTCATGTCTTATTGATTGATTGATGTTTATATACAGAAAGAAAGTACATGAAAGTTGATTCAACAAGATGAACCTGAAAATGATGATTATCATCCTAACAAAACAAATGGGCGAAACAAAAGTTTACTGCTTTTTTCTTCCCTTTCGTTTCTGTGTAACCATGAATCTGTGCTCCATTCATCTTGATCCAATCCAATGTCAAATACCTTTTATCATTCCCTGAATTCCGTTCCTTTCAACAGGGAATTATAATGCTTTTAACAATATCGCCAATTGCCAGCAAATCAGAGACTTTCCGCTTCTTTTTCATGTGCAAAATGAAATTTCACTCTACAGCTCATCACCATTTCAATTGATTGCAAATGAAAATTGCTTTCAAATGTTTTCCCTTCAAATTAAACCAACTTTACGAATTGATTTCGATCAACATTTTCTGTCAAATATAAAAATACTTTGAACGAAACCAAAGAACTGACATTGAATATTCAATTTGTGGTTCTAAGAAAATTAAGTTGCTCTTTTTGCTCATCAAATTGAGTTACATTTTCATAGAAGATGTTAATTTGAAAGAAAAGACTTTGAGAGAAACGTTTTAAAATGGATTTTCGTTCGGATTTGCTTCGAAATTTTTGATTTTCTTTTGAATAAGAATGAAATTTTCGAGTTGTTTGCTGTTAAATCAAACTTCAGGAAATGTGATTAGTGAAGAGAGCAATGTAACTATCAAGATTCTGGAGCTTGTAATGATGCAAATGATGAAGTTGATCTGATTAAACTTTGTTTTTGTCTAATGATTATCGAACTTTTTTCTTTTAGAATCTGATTGAGTTTCATTTTGTGTCCTTTCACAGGTCCTCCTGATGCTGTTTCCAACTGTACAATACGAAACCAAACGCTGGAGTCTTTAAGTGTCTCTTGTTTACCAGGTGATAGCGGAGGTTTAACGCAAATATTTTTTCTCGAAGTGTACAATTCTGATATACAAAAGCTTCATTGGAGTACAGCAAGTCAAGTGCCTTCTTTTCACGTCAACAACTTGCCTAGTTCAACTCGATTCACTTTGAACATTTATGCCAACAATAAAAAAGGTCGAAGTCCGTCTGTTTCTCTAACAACTTATACTCTGACCTTACCTCAAAAAGAAGCCAAAAAACAAGGTAAATTAATCTAAAGCATCATTCGTCCAAAAGAAAACCTTTTAATTGAAAACATTAGTTTTATGTTGAACATTACAATATAATCGACATTTTCAGCTCATTTTCTTGCTCGAACCAATAAATGGATTGAACGTTTTAAGATTTCCTTTACCTTTTCCTTGAAGAAACGTAAATTGATTCAAATTGATTATCATTTAATGTAAAGCTGAGCAAACATGAGGAAAGAAACGAAATAAAGAAGAGAAGAAAAAAAGTTCTTCAAATGTGAACATTCAACTGTAATGATACTTTTGATACTTTATCTAGTAAAAAATGTCAAAACTGATGACAAAAAAAGAGAAGAAAAAAGGAAATTCAGTTTATTCTGTGAAGTAAATGTTCAATTCCCAGTAAATGTTAATGATTTTTCAACCCTTTCCTTGCCTTGTTAGATATGCAAGAATACAAAAGTTGAAGATGAAAGAGAAAAGGAAAAATAAACTGAAATTTTTTTTCTTGTTGTTGCTGAATTTTCATCCTTTATTAGGCAAGTGAGAATGGAAAGCGAGTGACGAAAAAAATGAGGTAAAAGTCTCGAGTGGAATGATTATTATATGTGATTTAGCTTCGATATCATCATGAATGTTAATGTAGAAACACTGAAACTCAGATTGTCACTTTGGTGGAAAATCTTCTGAAAAATTCTTCTTTTTCCTTTGCCTGTTAAGTGACGATAATTTATTCATTTTCATATGAACAACTGATTAGATGAAAAAGGTTAATAGATAAATTCAATTTTCCATTTTGCAATTATTCAAATTGCAACATTGAAATTTCAAGTTCTCTTGCACTTTTCATGGAAAATCTCTTATTCTCATGAAATTCAATTAACATTGAATCTTGAGGTTCAACTTTGCATTTGATGAGCGTTTTAATCAACTTTCAACTTTTCATTTCCAAATGAAAGGTTAATCTGGAATTTCATGTTTTGGAATCAAACTGAATCAAGATTCTGGTTTCTTTGTGTTACATTGTTATCTGATAATCTTGAGCTTCTTTTTATTCATTAAGTTGTAAACATTACCATGAAATTGCTCAACTAGAATACAAAGTATCTCGGTTTGGACCAAATATAACTTTCTCTTTACTCTCATTAACCTCAACTAATATTTTGTTTTTTATTTCATTTCTTACCTTTTTCTTTATATCCTTCACTAAACACATCCAAATAATTCATCATATTTACCATGAAATGATCAACAGAAACAAGCGAATCATCCTTTCAACCAATCATTGGTATTCTTATTGGAATCATTATTACAAGTTTACTCATCATGTTTGGAATAATGATTTGTATTAAAATTCGTTCTGATCACAGTTTTATTGGTAAAGGTAAGTTGGACAGTTAAAGCAATATTTTTGTTTTGAGACAGAAATATTGAGACATTTTCCGCTGAAAAGAGCGTTTGATTAATGTCTTTGTTTTGTTTTGTTTCGTCTATCGATGTTGAACATTTTTCCTTTTGCAAAAGCAGCTTTAGTTTTGCTATTGAAAATTTTACCAACGAATTGCAATTCGATTTCAATATTGGCTTGAATGGGCTTGCTAAGCATTTTCATCGATCTTTTTGCTTCTAGATTAGAAGAAGGAAACTAATCGTCGAATTAATTGTTCTGTGAATTAATGAGAAATGTATTTGAACCATATTTAAACAATCATTAGCCTTATTATGTTCATCATTATCATGATTGACCATTAACAAGTTATCATCATCGATTATTCAATAAATTTTACTCTAATAGTTGACGATAAATTGTTCAATGCAATGGCAGTTGAATTGCAATTAAATTATGCATTGTTCCAATGAAGAAAATCATCGGAAAATAACTTATTATTATACTAATTAGTACATTGGAGATTGTATGGACGTAGATTTAGTGCTTTTAATGTTCAAAGTGACTAGATTTCCTAAAAATAGAAAGAAAAGGTCGCGATTCCAACTAAAGGCCTTTTATGAAGTTTCTTAGCATTTCCAAGTGCACTTTCCTCTTTTTTGCTCCAATGTCATAGTCTCTGCATGTTATAACTCGTTAGCTTCAGTCTTTTTGCATTGCACTTCTTTATTCAAAACTTATGATCAGTAAAGCTTGAATTTTCTCGATCTCAAAAGATTCATTGTTTTCTTTGAATTCTTGTGCAGAGCGATTTACATAAGTTTAACTTTTTTCACTTTCCTTTTGACTCTGATTCTAAACAGATCTCAGTTACACCAGTCAAGTGTATCATTGCAACTAATCTGAATATCATTGTACATCCTTTATGCTTAAATCGCATCTGCATTTCTGGCTTCGAGTTTAGAGTTTTCAGCTTTTTGATTGCACTGTATAATTGGTTCTAAGAGCTTGTAATTTCAAACTCTTTGCCTCTTTAACTTGCAAAAAACTCCTAAAATTATGCATTTACTAATTGCAATGAAAATGCTTTTTATGCTTGGATAACGTGCAGGTCAAGTACGATTGCAATTCAATTATTAAATGCCAATGATTTAGTTATCAATCAACAAATATTTCCGAGGTTATTCTCGACATTTTCACTGATAGTTCCTTCTTTTACTCGATTCCTTGCTTCAAGTTTTACACAGTTTCCATTGCAAGTGAATCATTAAAAGAGTTTCAGATTAAAGTCTGTCAGACACACACAGAGAGTAACAGACAAACACAGATGATAATGATAGCAATGATAATGATGGTAAATAATAATCCAACAATTTGCCGGTCCATTGTCCAGTTGAGAGAAAAAGAAACGAAAATGTTCTTAAAACCAAGTAATTAACTTGGTTGGTCAAACAAAATTCCCTTAACTTTTATTCTTTCAAATCTCTATTCATTGAACACTACAATACAACGAGTCCCAACATTTGTCCAAATTCAATTCTCGAAATGGCAAAAGAAGAAAGGAAAAAATGAAAAGTCATTAAAAAATTGCATTCGATTCAAAATCATTTTCCTAATGACAATAATCAAGGAATCCAAAGTAAACTCAGTGACTATCTAAATGCCAAGAAAATCAATTAAACCAAAAATGAAAAGGCAGAAGAACTCGAAACATCTTTCATGATTAAGTATCATGAGTTGAACATTAAGATATTGAATATTATTGTTATCCATTAATTGATTAAGCTCGTTAATTTTCACATTTAAAGCCAAGAAAAGGTTGGAATTATGTTTTAGGGAGTTTTTTACTATTCAAATGACCATCATTATCAGAATGCTCATTCCTTAATCACCATTAAATATTCATAGTTTTTCCTTTTACCTTTAATAACTTGATTTCAATAATTTTTCAATCAAAAGGTTGAACTTAAATTAATGCAACAAATTGCCGTTTGGAAAGGTTTTACTGAAAATCGATAAACTTTTCATGATAATCTGTGAAATTGAAAAGGAATGAATTTCGTTTTCTTGAAAAGACGAAAAGACTTGAATCTGTAAGACGTTTAATGGTTGAAAAATATTGATAAACAGATTTGCTCATTTCAATTTGGATATCTTCACTAATAGCTTCAATGATAATGTTGACTGGGAGTGAAAATTTATCAGTTATCATTACTTTTATTGTCGTAAAATGTCTGTTTATTGGCTTATTTCGAGTTTCAATCTTTTCCTTTGAACAATTTCTTTTTCTCATTTCATTTATTTTCATATTTCAATTGAGAGAAAAATTTTGCTAAATTTTTCTCTTCACTTGCCTGGATGAAAGGAAAAGAGTTGAAAAAATAATGTTAACCTCAATAAATTTGGCTTTTTTCAACTCGCCTATTTTGTCCTACTTTTCAAGCATTTCACTCTCAAGAGTTACAATAGCATTCAATCTTTAAAGAGGTCTTCATCTTCATTTTCATCTTAATACGTTTCTCCTTGTTATCAGCTTTTCATCTTCTGTCTGGAAAAATCTTTCTCTGTTCATCTTCTTGTTGTTGATCACATTTACAAGCATTTGCTGTTCATTTTGTGGACAAAATTGACTGAAAATGAAAGCCAACAGCAATCCATTATAAACATTGAATTTAAACCTTTTTTTCAGCTTAAATTTTGTTCAACATTTTCCATCTCAATTTCATTTTGACTTTTCGCTCACCATTATCATGTCTGGTTTCTTTTGCTTTTCATGAGATATTTTTCTTTTCTTTCGTTTGAATCTCTGAACTTTGCACAAAAGATTGAGAGGGAAAAAGTGATTCAAGGTAAACCTTAAATTGTTTCATGTTTATCCAGTTGAAATGAAATTGGTATTCAAAGGATTTGCTGCTTATTTAGCCAACAGAACGGAGAGTAAAAGCCAATCAAGTAAAGTGTAAAACAATAATTTTCAGGTTTGCCTTTTAATCGAAGCTCATGTCGAATGATTTGTTACCAGAAATGACAAGATAATTGACCATTAACTTTACCAACATTACTCAATTTACAGGTAATTAACTCGATACATGGAAAATTGTTTCCCTTTTTTTCTGGTGAACAAAAATGTAAAAGGAAAAAGGTTCAACATTGATTTAGAAATATTGCAACGAATCTTGATTAATGAATTTCGCTGAAAAATAATTCTCTTTATCTCTTTTATTCGAATCAGATGATTCAGGTAAATCTGTTTGCTCAACAAGGTAAGTGATTAACTTTTGCTAACATTTGAATTTCCAAAATTATTGAGTAAAATAGAAAACTTAATTTTTAATTTTCTCTTTTTTCATGATTAGCTGCATGCTGGATGATAATAATAAACCGAGAAAATCGTTTACTGATTCAGATAAAATTGAGAATCCAATGGGTCAATATCAAGGTAAGAATAAAGCTCAAGAGAAATGAAGATTTGATGCGCTGTTCACCTGATTTTGTTCAACGGGTTAAACAATGTTGACTTTGATTTGAAATTCATTGAAGGAAACGTTTTTCTTTCTCTGAATCAACATCTTTTAAAAGCGACGACAAAATGAATAAGCTTGTTAAGGAATCTTGACTTAAGGTTGTTGTGTATTGGAATGGGAAAATGAACTAAACTGAATAAATGAAATTAACTTGAAGGTAAATTTTCATTACTTGGAATAAGCTCAAGTGAATAGTTGAAAGATTTTGAGAAGAAGAAAAAATTGAAAAGAATTGGGAAATTGGAAAAAGAAACCAGGGAAGGAAAAAGAAGGAACAAAAATTTCCCTTTTTTTCTTCTTCTCTTGTAAAGGAAAAAAATACAACTTTGCTTGAACAAGTTGGAATAAAGAAATGATGAAAATGATGATGGAAATGATGATAATGAAGATTGGTTAAGAAAACTTAATTAAAGGCAAAAAATGGAGAAAAAAAGAGAAGAAAAAAGTTGCGTCCAAAATGAATATTTTGCTTTATTCGGTTAGAGAATTGCTCACTCCCAGGAAGACATGTTATCATATTCATTGAATTACCTCCCTGGTGAGTGATTTTATAATTTAATATATATGAATGTGCTTTACTGGGATGAAGATGATAATGAGATAAACAGGAGATCATTAAATTTGGAGAAAAGTAAACTTAAACTGTAAATAACAATTAGAATGTAAATTTACAGTTGCGATCATTTGCCTTATCATTAAAAGTTAAATGGCGAGGATAAAGTGTTAACCTTATTATTCAGGTTAACCATTTGTTCAGTTTCATTTTTCGCCTTCATCCCTTTTCTTCCTGTTTCAATCAGAGACAGTTTTTCATCTGAAAAATGATTATTGGTAAAGCTTTGGATGAAAAGTGAAATTGGCTCAATTAGTTTATCCAGTTTATCCACTGTTATTGCTTATTGATTGGACTTGCACTTGGAGTTTAATGTTAAATAAGTTTAATGTAAAACATTGTTTAACTTGAAAATGATCAACTTGATGTAAATGATGCTAATGCACGAAATGGTTCAATGAGTTATGGTCATCTTGATAATGAGTATTCATGTCATTAACCTTCATTGTTGCGATTTTTTCTCCTTTTTTTTCTTCATTCAGAATTCAACAAACAGTCATACGATACGATGGATTCTGGTTACAATATCATGAAGCCAATCGCCAACAAAATATCTTACAAGGTTTGTCATTCCACTCAAAAACAGAACTTTTTCGTCTGTTTGCTGAAAATTCGAGTTCCAAGAAATTCAAACAGACTTGAGCCAATTAGAAAAGAGGAAAGTTTTGATCTTAAGAAAATTCAGATTCATTCGTCAACTTGAACGACGAATCTCAGATAAATATTTACTCCAAGCTTTTGTTTGCTATTAAAGATAGCGAAGCTCAAAAAATTTCAAGAAAAGAAGGGAAATGAAGAGAAAATAAAGAACGAATTTATCTAAAGTTCAAAAGTGCGATTGGAAGGAAAATGCTGAAAAAGTTTTAGTTTTTTCGAAAAGATTTTCGAGTTTTTCACAAATTTCCAGAATTGAAGGAAAAGTGATTTTGTTCATTCTTCTGAAAATGACTTTAAAGGCAAAAGGAAAAGATCTGTTTTTGATTTTCGATCAGCCTTTTCCGAAGTTTTCCCGGAATTTTCATTAAACATTAAGAATTGAAAAAAGTGAAGATTTTCCTCGTTTTCAGCAAACTCTTGAAACAGTCGACCAACTTTGCATGGTAAAGATTCTGCCAGCCTTTTATACCTTGAATCTCACCCAATTTATTGAGTTGCCTTGAACAGTGACTTTTCTTGTTCCTTAAAGTTGACTAACCTTGCATGTGAATAACATGAAACCTTGACTTACCTTGACAATCATTTCAATCCCTTTCCCAGATCACAATACCTTTTATCAGGAAATTGGTTTGACTTTTTTTTTCATTGAACCAAACATGATCAAATGAATCTAATAATGAAATGCCAATTTGTCCTCTTATTCACAGTTTATTATCTCAAATTGTTAATCTTTATCCAACTCGAAGCATTTCCGATCTCATTTTGCTTCCTTTCAAAATAATCCTTGATTTACTTTGATTTTGTTTTACTTTTTCTTCTTCTTCTTCTTCTTCTTCTTGTTTTGCCACTTTATTATTACGATCACTGTTATCTTCATTATTATTGTTATTGTGAACATTATTATTCCCTGTAGGATGCAACATTGGATAAAATGATTACATCAACTGGAATGGTTAATAATTCAAGTGATGTTACTTATGCTGAATTATCATTATTTTCATGCGACTCTCATTCGGGTACAATTTCACGTCGCCGGTTAAACAAGTTTGAAGCCACCGAATATGCTTCAATTGAATATTCAACTGCAACCCAATCACATTCCCATCCATTTGATTCAACGGGTAAACATTTAACTTACGAGTACGATGTTAAGATGGACAATCGATCAACAGTCAATAACAACAATAACTGCAGCAGCAATAATAACAATAATAATAACCATAATAATCAAAATAATCTAAATAATGTCAACAATAATAATGTTAATACAAGTTCAACAATGGATTCGGAAACAGGGGAAATGATGATTGGAATGCGAACAAGTACAACAATGGTTAGAGACCATTCAATGGCTGATGGTTGTTCTGAGACTGAAGTTTCAATTGAAACTCCACTCATTGAAAGTCTAAAACCTGGTTACAGATCTCATGATATAATTGTAAGTTTCATTATAATGCAAAAATCACTTCATTCATCATTATTATTGCCATTTACATTTCATATTTAGTCACAATTTTTCAATAATGTTTATCATTTGAACCAGTTTTTGGGTTCACATTTCAATGTTATTGAAATGTTTACAATCTTTTGCTTTTGGGAAATTTCAATTTTTACAATTTTTTGGGTTCATTTTTTTTTTGGGTTGGGAAATGTAAATGATTCAAGAATTGAATTTTCATCATTTCAATCTTCTTCTTTCAATTGTTTTCAAATTGAAATCAAAGTAAATTTATTTAGAATCAAAGGAAAGGTTTAATTTGTTTAAATCATTTTCTAATGGTTTAGTTTAGTTAACCCATTAGTTTGCGTCAGTCAAAGGGAAAATCATCATTTAATTTAGTCATTAAGAGTCTCAATAGAGCAACTGATGATCATCATCATTATCATTCTGCAAGTAAATAAGTAGAAAATGATTTCTATTGTATTCACTAATTTTCTCTAACATTAAATAAATGATTACTGTTTGAGTTTAGATTTTAGTTTCATTCAATTTTATCCCTTTCTCCAGTTTTTGAAATGAGTTTGTCTGGAGAAACAAAATATAATTTGTCTCAATTAAATTTTGTCATCACGGTATAGTTGAGTATTTGACTTTTTTTTGTTAAATGGTTCACTATCATTTGCTAATTGTCACCTTCGTTGTTGAGTTGATTAAGAGAGTCAGACAAGTTGATTTAGACGATTGTTTTTAACCACTCTGCCTGGATTGGGTTCACCAAGGATTTGAAGCTTTGGATAGCTGAATGTTGGTTGTTGATGATTAAAATTGAGCCTAGAAATGCTTTTTTCCTGCTTTCCATTGTTGTACATTTCACTTGTAATGAAAGTATAATTGGAAAAACAAATTTGACTAACTGATTAAAGGAAAGGTAAGTTATAATTAAAATAGATCAGTTGTTTGAAGTCAAGAATGCTTTGTTTGTTGGGCCTTTCTCCGCATCTCCTTTGGGTTGCCTTGTCTTTCCATTTTCTTGGCTGTCTACCTTTTTTGGGGGCATAAAAGAGTTGGAATTTTGTATCAATTTCAAAGGTTGTTGGCCTGGTTAATTGGAGGTGACAACTTGAAGTTGATTGTTTCTCATGTAGATTTTCACAGCAAGAGAAAGATAATCTGGATTCGCTGGGACAATAACATTAATCCAAGTCAATTAAACACTGGTGAACCTGAACCTGGAGATGAAAGAGTTACTTAATGTATTTTTGAATTCTCTCTTCAGTTTAGCTTTTCTCTTTTACCTTGTACTTTTTGTTTTACTCCTCTTTTTTTCAATGATGATGATAATCCTGAACATGGTTCCAACGAGATTCAAACTAAATTGGGCTCCTTGTTTTATTTTGTTTTCTTTTGCCAACATCAAAGTAAACACACTATCTGAAAAAGAAAAGAACAAAATGTGAAGGATTAAAAGGATTGGATCTTTTAGCGTGTTGTTACTGTTATTGTAAGAGATTGAAAAGATTTAAGTCTAAATGAACTGAAATCCAAACAAGCAAATGTTGTTAAATAACTATGCGATATAACCTTTGATAAAAAATAATTGATGAACGTGTAAATACCTTCACTTCAACTGTTCATTTATGGGTATGGATTAGCTTTTTGTATAATGGCCAAAGAGGGGATCCAGTTGGAACAAAGGGTGATCAATATAGTTGAGCCAATATTTACTAAACACTGTTTCAATTATTTGACGTTTTAAGGTGAAGGACACAATCTTAATTAAAACATCTTGAGTTGACAAATTAACTTTCAGTTTAACGAAGATAAAAAAGCACAAGATTAAAGCAATTCAAGGTTCAGCTTAACGGTTTGTTTCACCTTATTTACAAGAATCGAATCTGACTTTGACCAAATTAATATATCTAAGCCTACCATAGAATGACCATAACAAATTCCTAGCTAATTAACCTGAACAATTGAATACAAGTGGAAAAAACCTAAACATTAATTCATAATCAAAATTTCAAACGCTTTATTAATATTTACCGGTTCCCGGTTAAACGGTTTGCTTAAAGCGCCATCTCTCTTTATTATTTCTAATTGATAAACAATTGGTTAAAATATTGATTTGAATTTAAAAAGTAATTCCATAACTCATTAAATCATGTATCCCATCATCAGTTACCGTTCTGAGGTTGAGGAATGAAATTTAAAATTTGATAAATTAAAAGCTAACTCCAAGTAATATTGATATTAATATCTAAAATGATCTGATCCTTTATCTGATATCTTCTGTGAACATTTGGAGCCAAACAAAATGCTTTTATTGTGCTTTTTGATTTTCTATTGTTACAATCTTGCTTTTATTGCTTCTAAATTGTTGATTTTAAGAATAGATTAAACCACTGCCACGAGAAGTTATGAGAATTAAACACGAGGGCGGAGCCCGAGGGTTTTATCTCATAACTTCGAGTGATAGTGGTTTAAAATATTTACACTACGAAAGTAAAAGATAGCCAACACAAAGTTAAAGACGCTTTATTAATATTTACCGGTTCCCGGTTAAACGGTTTGCTTAAAGCGCCATCTCTCTTTATTATTTCTAATTGATAAACAATTGGTTAAAATATTGATTTGAATTTAAAAAGTAATTCCATAACTCATTAAATCATGTATCCCATCATCAGTTACCGTTCTGAGGTTGAGGAATGAAATTTAAAATTTGATAAATTAAAAGCTAACTCCAAGTAATATTGATATTAATATCTGCAATGATCTGATCCTTTATCTGATATCTTCTGTGAACATTTGGAGCCAAACAAAATGCTTTTATTGTGCTTTTGGATTTTCTATTGTTACAATCTTGCTTTTATTGCTTCTAAATTGTTGATTTTAATATTTGTGAATCAATATGTGGCTGATCGTTTTATTATTGATCTAAATTCGCTTCATAGATTAAAAAATTGATTTCTTATGGTGTCCATCTTTATCTATTTTCATTGCATTTGGATTAACAAGAGACTATTTGAAATGTTTATGTTAATGTCTTTTATTTCAAAATCGTGAACTGAAATAAGGACGAGAAACTATAATATTATCATAGATATTATCACCATGTATTTGGTTGGTTTGTGATTATCTGAAGAAAAAGGAGAAATAATTCCTTCAACAAGTTCACCGTTATTATCATCACTTTAATCGACTCGATCGTCTTCATCTATATTGTTTCTTTATCTTGTTCATTCAAGTCATCCAGCTATTGATATTTGTGTTCAAGTTAATTACATTTTAACCATTCTGATTACTGTGAAGGTAAAAAGGGAAAGTGCAATGAGAAAAGAGGAAAAAGGAAAGAAGAAAACGGATCCAAGTTTTGTCGTATTGATAAGGGGAAGTTATTCTGATTAAATTAATGTATCAATTGAGACACATTTACCATGATCAACGTGATAGTCAACTTTAATTCAAACTCAACTAAGATCTATTTGGAAGGTAAAATAGACTGACACACTTGCAATGTAATTGATCTTAATTTACGGTGATTTATTATTATCATCATCATCATCATCTACAGTAACAACAAAAACAACGGCAGACATTTTGGATAACATTAACTCTTTTTATTGAACCTCTGACATTGGACTTGAAAGATAAATATCAACATTTAGATGAACAAAGAATGAATTTGTCCATAAATCAATACCATTTAGACTTTAGATTTTGTGTCTTCATTCATATCATTATTCAATGAAGCCACTTTCCCCTGCTATTTTGATATAACAAATAGCTCAATTAAGTCCATGATTATTTAATGAAAAACGGTTAAAGATGTAAATAACAATAATAATTTTCCTTTCCCTCTATTTGACTGATTGTTAATGTTTTTTTTATTTTTATTTTTCTATTAGATTCGAAAGGTTTCATCCAGCGATTTACGGATTGCAACTCCAGTCTGATGTTAAAGATACGTTAATCAAGTAAAATTATCATCTATAACGTTTCCTGATGATCAGATGGCTCAAAAAAGTAGTCAACAAACAAAAATCAAAGCAATCGTTGGATAAAGAGTTGACTTATAATTGGAAACCCTGAAAATGCCTTTAACTACAATGACCAATTGGATGGATGAAGTCTAGATTATGTTTCACCATAATCAAGTTCATCAAAATTTAATCTAAAGATGCTTTTCTTTCCTCTTTTTGTTCTCTTATCCTGAACCATGGATATTTATTCATCGTGTGGCCTTTAATCAAAAGTATTTCTTTTGTCGTCATTTCCCATTGTTTGGCATCATTAGTATTAATCATAAGGAATGGTTAAAACCAGGATCACAACGCAAAACAATTTCAAATCTGTACGAACATCGATTACAACTCAACAATCATATCAAACCTGATTTTCATTTCCAAATATGATCTACTCGAGGCTTACATTTCAACCTGGAATTGACTGCCGATTTGGATCAACATTTGTTTTTGTACAATTTAACCTGATTTCCAATCTTTACCAGTGAAAGTATTTTAAAACAAATTTATCAAAAAAATTAACCAGGCTTATAAGGTTTTTTAATGTCTCTGTGCTTTCCCATTTTATCAAAAAAACAAATGTTAATCTCGCTGAGCTTACAACTTCGCAATTTTAATTTCTATCCTCAGCAAATTCATTTGCTTATCATCTGTTTCCAGTCCATTTGTAACTCTTTTTCATTACAATAATCTCGATTGAAGTAAAATGAATCACATTGAAATATCATCTGTAAAAAGCTCAAAAATTTTGTACAAACAAAAACAATTTTATATTTTCATATCAATTATTGTAAAATATTTTACTTTAAAATAAAAACAAATTTTCCGTTAAACCAGCAACAATTGAAAATCATTTATCTCATAACAATTGAAAAGTCTAGATTAATTAAAGTCTAAGAGTTGCCAATTTTAAACTCGTTTCCATAACCGCACCTTACGAGCCTTTGGTTGAAAAGATGGAAATTGATCAAGATCAAGTATTAAATCGTATGGCCTGCCTGCTACAGGTTTAAGTAGGTAGGCACTACCAGGTGCGAATCCGGGGGGTACCATGGAAGTGTCAATCTCGATGGTTTCTGAGATATCATTTTTATTTGGATACGCGAGAGTAACGGCTCCCAAAATTGCATTAGGACTATCATGAATTTGAATATAAGGATTGGCTTGATAAGTCGCCTGTTGCCATTTAACCGACGGCCATAATGTATCAGGTTGAGGGTAACCCGCTAATTGGACATAGACAAAGTCTGCAGGCACAGCATAGCTTTTAACTTGATTCAACAAGGTATTCATTTGAGCTATTATTGATGCGTAATTACTTGAAAGTGATGTGATTCTCAACGTTAGATTGTCAATATCTCTTTCATGATTTGTAACATAACTTTGAAGATCTTCACAATCACGTTTATTCTGTGAAGATGAAGAGTTGATGAAGAGTCTCTGATAGGCGATTTTATCAAGGGTTAAATTGAGTTGGGTAAAGCTTTCGGTAATATTTTGGAGGAAATCATCATAGAAAGAAGATAAATTTTGCCCTTTTCCTATATCATCTGCCATTCTCTTGAGCTGTCCATCAATCATTGGGGCTAAATTGAGAGCCGATTGTTCATATTTGGATAAAATTGAGTTTATATTCTTGGCTGAGATGAAGTCTGCACATATTTTCTCTAGATGAATCATCCTTGAACGCATAACACCACTGAATAAAATTAAAGCTGCCGAGGCGAAAATAACACCAAGTTCCAGACGCCATATCCAACTTTCAGGGATAACAGATAGAGGCACATTTGGAGGTGATATTATAGATGTATTGGACGGGTTTTTCTTCGGTCTTTTCAGTATACCCTTTATATTTCCAGTGCGTCTAAAAAGGGTCTTCATAAGTGTTGATGAATTCCGTGATTAACGTACAGAATGAAGATTGTTTTAAATACTCGATGAAATTAAGGTTTACTTGACGAAATGAAAAAAACATAATATCATCATGTCCACATGTCTAGTCGGGAAGCTAATAAAAACACTAAACATGAACTTTAACATTCACTAATTTTCGAAATCCTGATTTAATTAGAGGAAAATTGTTTTAAATAATCCTAATCAATTGATTTATATTCCCTCAAATAATCAACAAAAACGAAATTTGAATGTTTCCAATTACACCGCTAGATGACACTGCTTTTCTGGTATTGCTTGGTAACCAAGATTGAGAAAAGCATGGTTCACACACCGGTGAGGTTAACAGTTATTTGGTTTAACATTTGCTTGTTTGTGACTCTTTGATCTTATTTACTAATTAATCACAAATTAACATGGTAAGTTTGAACATTTTGTTATTATTTGACTATCTTACCTTGCGTATTTGAATTTATGTTCATTTGTTTTTGTTTTTTTTCAGGCTCAATTAGGCAAAAGATTACTTCCTCTGTTTGACCGCGTGTTGATTGAACGATTTGTTCCTGAGGTTAAAACCAAAGGTGGAATCATGATTCCTGAAGCTGCTGCAGGCAAAGTCAACTCTGGTACTGTTGTAGCTGTTGGTCCTGGTGGAAGAACCGATGATGGTAAAACTGTAGCCCCGGCTGTGAAAGAAGGTGACAAAGTATTGCTTCCAGAATATGGTGGACACAAAATTGAATTCAATTCAAAGGAATACTACCTTTTCCGTGAGAATGAAATTCTCGGCAAATGGTCGGAATAAACTACCCTCAATCTAGATTAAACTTGCATTTACATCAATTCATCTATTAGAGCTAGTTTTTTTCTGTTGACCGGTGCGATTGTAGTCATTTCAATTCTTTGTTAGAAAAGATTGCTCTTCTCGTAAAGAATTAATAGTTTATTTTTCTTTTTTGTACGATTTAAGTAGGCAATTGCGTTGAAATTCAATACGATAGTCTATATGGTTAGTGTCTATTCATTTCAACCAATTAAGTTAAACAATTATGTAAACAAATTGCCATTTTCAAATAAAATTACATTTTCCTAGACCTTTGTTGGTTTTAATTTTTACTTTGTAAATGTTTTCATTTCTAATGACTTGTTTGACGGTCTAACAGTCACTCTTAATTCGATTTTACCATTTAACCAATTATTTAATTGTCAATCTTAATTTAAAGTCTAGGTATAGAAAACAACTTTCGTTGAGAGTGGCTTATAGACAAGCCTTGAAAGTTTCCTCCTAAAGATTCACTTCTATTTGATATCATGGAAGATAAATTTATCATTAGAGATTATTCAGTGATCTTGAGAGTATTAAAATGTCATAATGAAACATATTAAACTGATTTTATTCCAATATATTAATATTAAAAGGACAATTTGACCGTATTCAACTTGGATTCCTTTCTCTTTGTTCAAGTGCCTCTTAAGTGAACATTCTGGAAAAATCATGTTGCTTCAGAGATTTAATGCAAACAAACGTTTGATCGCACCAATCTGGACTTATGGTTTATCATCAAAATCATCATCCTTTAATGGCTTTTCTAGTCGATTTAAGATTGATTGTTGTCATTTGAATTATGTGAGTCAACAACGCTTTGCTTCATCAAGCTCATCGTAAGTAAACATTTAAAAGATGAATAGTTCCATGTTTATCAAGTGTTTTTAATTTGCTTCTTATTTTATTCATTTCTTGATTATTCCCTAAACAGCACCTTTGTTCTTCACCCTTATTCATATGCTTATGGAGTTTCTCCTGCCAGTCTGGAGTATTATTCAATTGGAGATGCCTTGCAATTAAGTTCAGAGAAAAGTAAGTATAGACAACATTGATGATCAGCTGTTTGAAGCACAAAGTATCTCTTAACTGTGTACTTCAAAAATATTTATGCCATTGTAACTGTAATAACATCAAGTTTTGTTATTTATTTAAGGAGCCACACAACCCGCCATCATAAGTGGACATCAACAGTTAACTAAAACTTTTGGAGACTTAAATACAGAAGTTAATCAGCTTGTCAATGCTTTTAGTTCATCACTTGGCCTTAAAAAAGGTGATGTAGTGGCTTTATGGTCATCTAATTGCTATGAATGGATTCTCATTCAATTGGCTTGTGCTCGAGCCGGATTAATCCTTTGTACTCTCAATCCAGTTTATAAATTACCTGAATTGGAGTATGCATTGGTTAAATCAAGTGCCAAAGTTTTATTTCTTCCTGGTTTATCATCAGAACAAACAAAGGTCAATGATTTTGCGAACATAGCTGGTAATCTTAATAAGAAGAATAATCCTGATCTTGAAAAACTCGTTCAAATTGACGGCGACAGTTTACCAGGGTCGAACTTTGATAGATTTACATTAACTGATTTACTAAAATCTAATAATGGTTCTTCAACAAATTTATTAAGAGTAAATAGTGACGATCCAGCCATCATCATGTTTACATCGGTAATTAAAATTTTTCTAACTCTTAAATCTTCATCCATTATTGTTACTTACAATTCAATCTGCTTTTTTGGTCTAGGGAACCACTGGTAAACCCAAAGGAGCTCTACTTTCGCATTGTAATTTGCTAAATAATGCTCAATTAACTGCCAGGAGACTTGGTCTTGATGAACCAGGAACTGTTGCAGCTATACCTGTTCCTCTTTTCCACATTTTTGGGTTAGTCTATGGAATTACAATGATGGCCCGAATGGGAATAACGATTACTTTAACTGGATATCGTTATAATGTTAAAACCTTGGTCAGCACGATAAACGAAAATCAATGCAGCCATGCCATGATTGTTCCAGCAATGACTATCGATCTAATCAATCACCTAGAAAAGAACAATATAACCATGCCATCACTCAAAAGTATTTAATTTTTTCAACTATAGCCATCACCGAGCATCGATCTCTAAAATATTTCTTATTAATTTTAGCCATAATTACTGGTTCAGCACCTACAACTGTAGAGACTGTTCAAAGATTCTTAAAAGTCAACCCTCATACTGAAAATTTCCTCATTCGTTATGGATCTACAGAGACAGGTATTTTCTTTATCAATACAATTTTCCCAAAGTATTCAGTTAATAATACAATGCAAATTTTATCATTTGAAGGAGGCTGCATGACAATGCCACATCGAGGAGATAAGCCAGATAAAACTAAGGATAATGTTGGAGCTCCCCTTGAATTAACTGAGGTTAAAATTGTTGATCGTAAAACTGGCGATTTAACCAAGATTGGAGAGCAAGGTGTGAAGATGGTGACAAGCTTTGACCGTTTTTATTTCACAATTTGTTTTTTTATTAATCAGGTGAACTTTACGTGAGAGGTCATCATGTAATGTTGGGATATTGGAAGGACCCAGAAAAGACTAAAGAGACCATTAATGATTCCAATTGGTTCATATCTGGGTAATACTAGCATTCCTAATGCATAATCATTCTTGCGACTTATTGAACCTCAAAATAATATCATTTCTATGTCATATAGAGACATTGCTACTATGGATGAAAACGGTTATGTAAGGTTAGTTGGACGAGCAAAGGAACTAATTATTCGAGGTGGAGAAAATGTCTATCCAAAAGAAATAGAAGAGTTACTTCATCAACATCCCTCCGTCCGAGAAGCATTTGTAAGTGAAGTTCTTAATACTTCCAGTATTTCATTAGTTTTTTTCTCTGATTTTATTCTTTTATTTTTTCCTCTAAAATTTTAGGTTTGCGGAGTTCCAGATGAACGAATGGGAGAAGAAATTTGTGCATGGGTTAAACTTAAAGATACCGAAGAAGCTAAGAAGCTAACTACTGAAGAAGTTAGGAAATTTTGCAAAGACAAGGTAATAAGCGTATTATCTTGAATGTAGTATTTTATCATCCAACTTACTGATTAGAATTTTTAGGTACTTTTACCTGAATTTAAGTTAATACTGAATCTTTGCTCTTTCATTTGACAGATATCTTACTTCAAAGTTCCCAAATATGTTTTATTCGTTGAAGATTTTCCCAGAACACCGACTGGTAAAGCGCAAAAGTTCATGATGACTGAAAAATCAATCGAGATATTTGGTCTCTCGAAAAAATAAATAACATCTATTTTGACATTCAATAACTATTAATGGGGCAAAAGTATGAGACAAAATGTTTAATTGCTTGTATCTTTTTGAAAAATTGTCTTCACTTTTCAGTTACAATTTCATAACTCATAGTAATTTTTATAACCTGCATAAAACTACAATTAGATAAGCTGATTTTATGATTTTATCTAATTGTGTTAATTTTTGCTTATAGCTTTATAACTGTTTTACAATATTTGGTTCAAGACTTTCCCAAGTCATTCCATTGATAAAAGCTGTTTCAAGTACACTTGGATTACTTGTAAAGTTGAGTCACAATTTGGTTGGTTTAAATAATGTGTTAAATTTTATTATAAAATATAATGTGTAATAAATTAATTGAAACTATCATCAATCACATGATCGTAACTTAAAAATTTCTTATTCTCAACAGATGATAGAATTTCATGTTGATAACACTTTTTTTCAAACAATAGAGCAAAATTAACTGTTTTTTTAAACAATGATAGTGACGAGAATAGAAGTAAAGAAATACAATTTTTAAAAGAAAAGGTCGTTAATTAAGTTCGGTGGTGAGAGCGTTGGTTTGGGATGGAAAAATGATTGATTAATCCATTTAAAAATTAAGTATTCTAATAGATTTCGGTCCAATCCTAGTATTGAACACAAACAGTTGGATCAGTTGGTGCTGAACAACCAACGATTCGTGAATCAAAAGCTAATTTAACCGGACACTCGAATAGATGAAGAGTAAATTTGTTGATAAATTTGTCCCAATAACATTCGTAAAATTTATTACAGTCTCCTGGATGTTGGAAGAGACCAGGTCGAGTACAAGCAGCTTCTGGAACTGAACCATCAGTGAAGTTTCTTAAACCAGGATAAAGGTTTGAGTTGTATAAGCTTTGTAAAGAGTTAACTTTAGCTGCAGGAAGATGTCCATTATCCGTATTGTAAGAATCGCCAGAGTATGATGAATCATCTTCATATTCAATGTCTTTGTAATGATTATAACCTGCTGAAGGTGATGAAGCTCCATTATCTTCTGCTGAAGGCTTTACAGTTGACGTTTGATAAGATGGATAAGTTGGTGTAGTTGATCTCGGTTTTGTTTCATATGAGAATGAGTAATAATTGTTATTATTGTTATCATAATTGTAATTATTGTTGTCACTAATTTCGTGTACCGAATCTAACTCTTCAGCTCCAATTGGACGTCCATAAGGACTGTCTGTTTTACTGATATCTTGAATGGATTCACTTTGCCCTGGTTCCTTTGATTCATCAATAACATAAACTTTTACGTTAGGGGAATCATTTACTTTTTGATGATGGTGTTGAGGTTTAGGGTGAGGATGAGGATGGACTGTTTTTGTTTTCACTTGAGGTCCATTGGCTCCTTGGACAATGTAAACCTGGATTTGAGGAGCATCTCCTTTGTTTCGTAAAATATCGAATGGACGTTCAGTGATATATTCAGTTGCCGTTTCAGTTGAAGCTTTTTGAGTAGTTTGAGGAGCTGGAGTTGTGGTTGTGGTTGTTGTTGTAGTTGAAGTAGTAGTTGTGGTGGTTGAAGTTGTTGGTGAAGTTGATGATCGCATGTAATCAGTTGAAAATGAACCGATTGGTGCTTCATATCCCCCATGAATATTTGGAACATGATAGTCATAACCATCGTATAAACCATATTTATCATGAAGATTTGGTGATAGAGTTGATGGAACTGGATATTCAGATGTTTTAAATATTGGTGATGCTGTTACATCTGAAGGTGTTACATATTGAAGATCAAAGTAGCTACCAGAAGGTGCAGATCCACTAGCTGAGGAGCCAGAAATTGGCTGAGGTTGATAGTTCATGTGATGTGGTGGATACATAGGAACTGGATAAGGTGAACCTAATGGGTAATAAGGTGATCCCAATGGATTGGTGAAGTTGAGTCCAGTTGGATAAATGGGTGAAGGTGGGAAAGCATATTGATACCATGATGGTTGATACGAAGGCCAGCCTTGACCATAGACTACGGTCTCATTTGAACCAGGAGGTTGGTAATAGTACGAGTGATAAGCTGGAGGTTGATTGTTGTTGTTGTTGTTGTTACTGTTGATGTTATTTAAAGTTTGGTGTGAAAATGGTGAGTTTGATACTCTGAGTGAATCGATTGTTGTGCCGTCATAATTGACTGTTGTTGACCCGGTTGATGAAGTCGGACTTGGTGTAGTTGTTGAAGTTGTAACTCCTGATTGTGATAAATGTTGAGCTATTACTGCTTGAATTGATTCATATAAAGCTTGTGGTATAGATTGTGCACCAAGGAAGAAATTGTCATCCGTCGTTAGACTGCCATTCGATAATGATGATGGACTGGTTACTGGTGTAGCAACTGTTGTTGATGACGGAGGACTATTTGTTGTTGGTGGTGGTGTAGTTGTTGAAGTCGAGGTTGAAGAAATTGTTGTCGGTGCTGCAGTCGTTGTTGTAGTTGTTGTTGAAGTCGTTGTTGAGCTCACAGTGGTTCGAGTTGCTGAATGTTTTGATGGTTTTTTGGTTGTGCGCTTAATTTCATATTGAGTTACTGGTGGAAGTGTCGTTGTGGTTGTTGAAGTTCGACGACGATTCACACTAGATTCTGTTGATGTTGTGGATCTTGGCTTAGCAGTTGTTACTGTCAATGGAGCAACTGTTGGTTTCCTATTATTATGCTTTGGCTTTGATTGACTGACTGTTGGGACAAATTTTATTTCATTGACAGGTTTTACTTCTTCATGCTTAATCCAGTTACCTGGTAATTGATTACCAGCGAATTGTGACCCTGAGGGATGGCTTGGTGATATTCGTTGACCTAATCCACCGGCTCCAATTAGTGATTCATAATTGAAACCTTGTTGAGTTGCTAAAGCTGATAAAAGTTCAGGGTTACGAAGAAGTTCGTCAAATGAAATTTTGCTTTCATCATAAAATTGATTACCTTCCCCGTTAGGTTTGATTGGGCCTCCGATTGGCTTATTTTTATCATCAACAACGACGTAAACAACATCATCTTTGCTGTTTGGTTTACCAAATGGTCGTTTAGTTGTTATAATCCGGTTGAAATCAAGTCCTTGTGGGAAAAGATTTGGATACATTGAAGCTAACTTTTCAAATTCATCAATGTTTGTGGGCTGTGGTTGACTATCTGGAACTGGAACAATTAAAACTTGAGGTTTTTTGGTGGTAGTAAATTTAATGTTAGAAGATGTCGTTGATGGTAAAGGTGATGGACTTGTTGGTAATTCGACAATTTTAACGAAATTGGGAACTTCCATTGAAGGATCCACAGGATTTGAATAGTAATGATACTCATTGTTACTTCCTGATGTTTGCATATTATTTACATTGCTGAAACCACTATGGCCGACTACTTTGGAACTATCAGCTAAATTGTTTGCCCATTGTTTCTCAGCATAAGATGGAGAAAATTGTGAACTTGCTGGTTGAATTGGAATGAAACCGTTTTTGCTGATTGGCAAAGTTTCTGAAGCTGCTGCTGTCGGGATTTTATTAGGATTGGAAATTTGAGGTCTATTTACTGGAATTGATGAAGACTCTGAAGCTAATGGCGATGCTACTCCATAATGAGATTGTTTATGGCCTGAAATGGCCAAATAGCTACCGCTTCCTTGAGACTTGTAAAATGTATCGTCTGTTGGTTTTTGAGTGTAAGTATCAGCGTTGACTGGTTTAGGAGTTATTGGGTTAGAGATCGGCTTATTTGGACCATTTTGAATATTTGGTATTTGATTTTGGTGATTGAAATTTGACTGTTGGTTTTGATGATGAGTGGATGAGATC